CCTGTTTGGATCACATGCATTTTGTTACATATTTTGAGAGGAGAGGGCAAACCATGGAAACCTTCCTGCAGTTTATCAACCCAGTTAACAGGGAACTTTGGCTAATGTTCTGGCAAGGTTATTCCACTAACATTAATTCAACCTTCGTTCAGAATGATCTGATATTTGATATCTTAGTAATGTTTTCAAAACAGGTAGCAAACAAAAACGTTATTTATACATTGTTCATGGAATGTTTTTTTTCCCCGTAAATATTTTAGTTAAATATTCATCTAAAATCATTTAAATATTAGCTACTAATTCTTTCACAATGTTCAGAGAAGATTCAAAAGCAACGTTCTCATAAAATTAGCACAATTTTTTTTTTAAATAGAATATTACCTTAATTATTTAAAAAACATTTAATAAACAAATTCATAACTTAACGGGAACGTTCTTAAGAACAAGTGTGTTAGTCGTGAATCCACCTATTAAATAGATGCGGAAACTAAAAGATGATGTTTTTATTTTTTTCAAACAGCTGATGTAATATCGTTTCATGATTTTTGTTTTGTGACAGTTGTGATAGTTGCTCTGCCACTTATTGACTAGCTGTGCTACAAGACCTTGCGCAGTCTGGGAAGGCCATCAATTAAATATCAGCACTCTCATATATTTTTTAACAAGAGTGTTTAAAATAAGATGTAGCTCTGTATGGCCCAGCTCACAAAAAACAGCATGTGCACTTTAGACGCCTCTCGAGCACTCCAGAGAGGTAAAGCACTCAGGACTGAAGCAGCAAGAGATCTGTGGAAACTGATGGAAACAGACTGGAAGGCTCAAGATAGACCTCTAGTGGCTGATACCAAAACACCAGCATTACTGCTTTTCACACTGGTGTGAAGGCATGATTATGTCATGATGGTTTCCATGCTGTTTTTCAACTCAAACGATCCATAATTTACTTTTGGATATCTAAACTTATAAATGTGGTTTATACTACATATATTGCTGCTAGATGCACACCCTATGAGTCATTGAATGGGTTGTACTCTATGAATTATAGCTTGGATTCCCAATCTAGGCATCACATTTGTAATCATTGAAAATGCCTATGACAAGGCCTATAGCTCAGTAATTTGACCAGTCTTGTCCACACGTACACGGGTATTTTTATAAACGGAGTTTTTCCTTCTTCCGTTTTTAAAAAAAATCTCCGTCCACATGAAAACGCAAACGCATGCTATGAATCACTGTCAAGAGCATGCCAAACCAACAGGTGGCGATATAATCTCAACCGTAAAGCCATGTTGGCCAATCAGAAGCCTGAAAGAGTCTCCAGTAGGCGGAGATAACAGCGCAGGCTCCGACGTCACCAGCCAAGAATTCCGGTTTCGCTGTCTACACGATAACACTGCAACCGGAGTTTTTGAAAATCTTCACCCTGGCAGGCGTTTTCAAAAATGTTCGGTTTCAGTGAACTGGTGCTGCGTTTGCGTGTGGACGAATGGCCTAACCGCGTAGAAAAAGCTGCGGTTAAAAAATAACCGCGTTCGTGTGGACAGGGCCTTACAAGCTTTCACAAGTTAATTGGCTGAAAAATTAATATCTATTCTTCTCATAGCACCCTTTGAACACAATCTTAAGGGGGTCATATGATGCGATTTCAATTTTTCCTTTCTCTTTGGAGTGTTACAAGCTCTTGGTGCATAAA